ATCCCCAAGTTTCCTTCTAGGTTAAAAAAAATCATAAGCATAATTTAATATTTTAAATTACTATAGCATTGGTAGGGTTACCCCTTTTCTGTTACGATGTATTTTTGGCCCTATCTACCACGTTTTGAGCCTCAGTCCTTGATCAGGAACACAAAGTCCAATGATCACACCATCTCTATGGGAAATAGAATCCAGTTTACCACAGATTTACTTTATGTTCCAATGTCTCCATTCTCTGCCCACATTTACCCCTTGGGAGGTTCAGAGATATTTATTCAGCATCTTGAGACCATAAGTCTCTGAGAATACTCCGTATGGTATTGCCTCGAAGAGCCAAGCCCCTAATTTCAGTGGGTGTGCACTCTGCAGCAACCCCCGCACATCTTAACTTAGATTTGTCATGGCTGGTAAGAAGAGAAAATGGCTAGTCAGCACCTATTAGAAGGCCTGAGATGGAGGGGGCGCTCTACAGATTACACCTGATCCATGGAGCAGCATGGTATGTGGGAAATAACCAAAACACAGCGTTATTTTTGTCCCCCACTCAGATGTTTCTCCTGCCACTAGGTGAAAACTAAGCAGAGCTCATGGCTCACTCTTGGGTTACAGGCGGTCACACAGTCACTTGAAGTAAAAAAAATACAGCCTTGATTCAAAATTAAATTGTCCAGTTCCAAGATTAATCAACTCTTCCCTCTTTCTTCACAAGATGACATCTCCTTTCATTCCCTTGGTGCTGCTCAGACCATCAGAGTCCAGCGCTGGGGGAGAAGAGGGGAGGAGAGGACAGCAGAGTGCCCATCACATTGGTGACTGATGCTGGCCCAAGTAAATCTGGCAGGCGGTCGACACTGACCTGCCCTCCTACCAGTTTTGTTGCCATCATTGAGCTGTTCATGGAAAAATTCCCTTGATGTGGGTCATACACATTTTCCTCTGACTAGTTACCTCCCTTCCACCTATCAGGCTCCCATTTATTATTGTTCTACCCCGCTGTTTTGGGGGTCCCCTCAGCTCTGGAAGGAGCCCTGTTGGACAGAAAAATCTCAGGCAGGATGCCTTTGAAAATAACCCCATGCCACTAGCCAATGATTTCTTTTTTTTTTTTTTAAGATTTTATTGGGGACTTGGGAAAGGGGAACAGACAAGTTGCTGTCCTTTTTGTTCTTCAGTCTAGTTGTGGAGGACATCGCTTCACTGGCCCATGTTGGTATTATCATTGTGCTTTTCCTGGGTGAGGCAGTCGCTCGCCAGCCATTGGACAGCGGCTCATGGCAGCTCAGGGTGGCTGCCGGCCAGCCCCACTGCAGCCTACCCTGTTGCTGGCGACTCACGGCAGCCCAGCTCCAGGTTGAGCTGCTGTTCACCATCTTAGCTGTAGAGGGCACAGCGTTACTGGTCCTCATGTGGGATCCAAACCGGGGCCCTGCTGCTCAGAGCTGGCGTCCCAAGCCAACTCTTAACCAACGCACCACTCGGCCGGCCTGCCAATGATTTCTTAAGTAGGACACATAAAAAATTGTAGGTAATATTTCATCAGGACCTTCCAGCTTCTATTTAGGATATTGAAAGCTGAAAAGAATATTGCTCCCAAAGTAACCACAAGAAAAAGCTGTGTAGCCTACAACATCAAAACTTTTCTTGAACCCATCAGAGAGTGGAGGTCACAGGGCAATAAAGTAGCCTGAGATTTAAAGAAACAAATGGCTCCAAAAAAGAAAGGCAATGTGAGACCTGGCTCACCTGAGGCAGAGCACCTGGGAAAGACAAGGCCGCCATAGAAGTAAGAAGATTGCAGCTAAAACTCTATACTGAATTGATAGTTAAATTTTAACAATTTGCTGCTGTGGCTGAGCATTAGTGTATAGGGCCCATGGAGGCTACAGACACCCCAGTAAAGGCTTTTCTCCACAAACTTCATAGAATGCTCACACAAAGGTCAAGGTCAGAGTAGGGGAACAGAGGAAGCCTCCCACGGTGGTGCAGGTCTGTGAGGGAGGAACAAAAGCCCCTGGGTGTGGGGAGAGATGAAGAGCAGCAAACCCACCAGGGTACCAGTACAGACACATTACAGCTGGAGAAAGGGAACAAGGAAACAGCCCTCTCCTGGGAGAGGGACAGGAAGCTTTCTCCCTTACAGGAATCACCAAGACAGACACAAGGCAGAGTTTGTCTGCCATGGGGAGGAGGGCAGGGTCGCTGAGTAGGTTCTAGACCCAAGACCCCTAGACATAGGTCCTGCCTGAGATGGAGGCTGAACCAGGAAACCAGAATACCTCTTTCCCTACCAGGCTGGCAAGGGTCTACTGAGAATCCACTGCAGGGGAAGGACCAAGGGCGGCACTTCTCTCTCTGAGGCACAGGCTCACAGTGAAAGCCTAAAGCCAACCCCCACCGCAAACAAAGTAACACTCTCACCAAAAGCTGAAAACAACTGGTGAATGCATAAACGGTGACAAACCATATCATGGAATACTACTTAAAATTTAAAAAGAACTATTAATACGTACAATAACATGGCTAGATCTCAAATGCATAATGCTAAGTGAAAAGAGCCACACACTGTATGGCTACATTTATATGACATTCTAAAATAGGCTAAACTGTATGGACAGGGAGTGGTAGCTGCCAAAGGCTGGAGGGAGATGAGGGGCTGGCTACAACGGGACAGGAAGGACTTCTGACGGGTGATGAAACAGTTCTACATCTTGATTCTGGTGGTGGTGACAAATGTCATGCATTTGTCAAAACTCACAAAACTATACATTTAAAAGACTGACTTTACTGTATATAACACATCTCAAAGACATTTAAAAATTAAAAAAACAGAATTTCACTAAAATTAAGAAGTTTTGTTCATCAAAAGATACCATTAAGAAAGTGAAGAGACAACTCAGACTTGAAGAAAATAAAAAGAAATAGGCCTTGCATATAGAATATATAAAGAACGTACAAATGAATAAGAATAAAACTGACAACTCAATAGAAAAATGGGCAAAAGACTTGAGTGGACATTTGACAAAAGACATTATCCAAATGGCCAATATGCATATGAAAAGCTGCTCAATATTTTTATTTTAAATGCAAATGAAACCCTAATGAGGTACTGCTACACATCCACCAGATCAGCTAAAATGAAAGATTGGCAATACCAACGCTGGTGAGGATGTGAGCAACTAAAACTGGTTGCAAATTTTTATAACTACATTAGGAAACTATTTGGCAGTATTTACTAAAGCTAAACACGCCTGAGCCTTAAGAACCAGGAATTCTGCTCCCAAATGCTTATCCAATAGAAATGAGTGTATATGTGTCCACCATAAGACATGTTCAAAAACATATATAGTATCATTACCATAACCGCAAAAACCTGGAAACAATACAAATTTCCATTAACAGGAGAACATATAAATAAAGTGTAGTATATGTACGCTCTTATGCAACAAATATAGAAAGAGCAATAAAGAAAAACAAATATGCAACAAAGATGAAACTTAGAGATATGATGAGCGAAAGAAGTACAAAGAACTACATACTGCCTGATTTCATTTATATTAAATTCATGACTAAGCAAAATGAAGTTATGGTGATGAATTCAGAACAGTGGTTATGAGTGGGAGTAGTAAACTGAGAAGGGGCATGAGGGAGCCTTCTGAGCTGCAGGAAATGTTCTATATCTTGATCTCAGTGGTAATCCCATGGGGTAATATATATGTATTTGTAAAACTTCCGTCAATAGCACGCTTACGTTCTGTGTACTTTACTGCATGTATGTTTGCCTCAGTGCATTACAACAGAAGGGAAATATCGCCTAGGGCACAGCTCAAGGGCTAATGATGATGTGTGCAAAATGAATATAAACAGGCCAGGAGTGTGGAAGGACGTGTCATGGTCCTGAGCCTGTGTGTTTCTTATCAGCTGCAGATGGAGAAGAAATACACATGAGCTCTGTAGCCCATAGTAGAGCAGACTTCATGCAGCTTCTTGCTTTTAAGTGCCAAAGTTATGCAATGTCAAAAGAAATATCTTTTTGTTTAAAAAAATATTCAGAGCAGGCATAGTTCCTCTAATGTGTTAAAACAGAAACATTCATTTTTATGTGCTGTTAATTGCTATACTATAAGACCTACCAGGTTATTCTTTTCTATCAAGAGAATAAAATTCTTGTTGTTTCATTACCTTTCTACCATGTCATTCATCAAAAAAATCAAGATTTGTGCTTACTGTATGCATGCTATACCTCAATACAATTTGTATTTAATGGCCCTGCCGACACTCCCAGGGACGCCCCATCCACATGGGGACTCCAGGACTCATGCACCCGTGACCATTCTGGGGAATGCGGTTACTCCCAACACAGCTGCCATTCTTTTCAGTTCTACCCGAGGTAGTTTCTCTCTATTTCCTTGTGAGTATTAGACACCAGTCCTCAAGCCTCCCACTACAAGGGTGACCCACTGAACTCTCTAAGCCATCCTGGAGGCCCCTCACAGGGTCTGAACAGGAGGAAAACCCCATCTCTTTCCCCTTTCCCTTTATTGAGGACTCACACACAGCCTACCAACCTCTCCCAACATATTTCTTAGCAGATCCTCTCTCCTCTTTGTAACGTGACTTTTTTTTACATCTTTAATGTGAAGGACAAGTTCAGGAGCCTTTGAACCAACATCAGGCATTTATTTTACAATTACACTCTGCATTTTCATCCAGCACCTCACTCTGGTGTGTAGCATTTATGGTTGGTGCTGGATATCTCTCAATCAAGACTTCAACGTTAACCTTCTGTTATTGTCACTTTAGGTTGAACCATTTGAAATTGTTGTTTGTTGACTACTTCAACTAACGGAATTGTAATTTCTTATGGTTCAGGCTAAAAATTTTATTCAAAATAGACTTTTTAGAGAAAGTGAACTTTAGGTTGGGTTTGAACAAAAGGGAAAAGTGAATGCTTAAATGAATACCCAGGCAACTACTGAAATACCTTCTGCAAAGCATCTCACCTTGGCTTTCAGATCAGCACACAATTCCTGATGCTTTTTCCTGTCCTTGGCCAATGTGCTCTCCATTTCATGAGCTGCACAGGCTTCGGCTAGTGTCAGCACAGCCTTCTGTATAAAATCTCTCCTATTCTTATTCCAATGTGATATCAGGATCCTTCGCTGCTCCCTAGTGAAGCGATATTGGTCACAATACTTCTCATGTTTGACCTGAAAAGATAACAGATGGTTATTATGGCACTTCTTACATTTATTATGAAAGTGAGCCCATGCCCTATGTCATTGTTACAAAAGTGAATAAAATGAATTATAACTAATGATTTTTTAAAAACTGGGGACAAATATCTTAATAGTAAATGCAGCAACCAGGATCAGGTACCAGTCACAGAGTTCTGAGCTGGTAGCTAACTGATGACTGAGGACCATTTAATGTGTATAAGTCCCTAGTTTCCTTTGTAAGATAGAATCAGACCAGCTGGCCCTCAAACAACTTCCACTTCTACATGGCAATAAATATAGGGGCAGAAAGCATTATTTCCTCTATATACAACTTCAAAAATACTCCATCTTTAAGTCAGTTTTGGTATTTTAACAATTAGCTCAAGTGCTTCAGTTAGACGCATGATCATAAATATTAAAAAATTGTTACAATAATTCCGAAAACTCAGTTTGCTCTTGATGATGGAAACATTCAGATATTAGGATGTCTAAACTTGAAGTAATTTTAGCAATGACATCAGCCTGTCCTATTCCACTCTCCTGAGGAACATGACATTCTCACATCGGTACCATGGTTCCTATTCGCAGTGAATCCCAACCAGGGGAGAGCTCAGTCTTAAGGGGAAGAACAGGAATGGAGATAACCTGAGTAGCTGGAAACACCTCTGTAGGTGATTCTGAAATGTTCATTATATAAAGGTGTGTCTTTTGAAATTGAGAGTCGCTGACCTAAATAATTCTTTATTTTGCCAGTATAGACCACGTCTCTGAATTTGATACCTTATTTAACGCTTAAGTAGTGTGAGAAAACAAGCTAGCAAGGAGGATAAGGTTGGTCTTACTCCAAATAATAATTTAGGTACAGTTAATTAGGTACATGATGAAACACGCTATGGCTTCATTTAAACCAGACATCAGCTACTAGAATCTGTTCTGTAAACTTTTTAGCATTGTTCCCCAAAGCCAAAAATATATACTTAAAACCTATCAAACATTAAGAAAAGGAGCACACACCATGCAGAAATTCATACTAATCAACCCAAAGTAAAAAGGAAATGTAAAAATTTTTACTATGTAAAGAATAGGCAAATACAAAAGTCTACAAAGTTAAAAATGAGAGCTGGCCACAGAAGCAAATAGATCCAACAGGGAATAAAAAGAAGGATTTAATAGAGTAAATAGAGTTTAATAGAGTAAAACTTTTAAAAATTCTAGAGTGAATTATTTATTATATAACTTGTTTTTTGCATAACAGGTATCTGCTATAAAATAAAGGTCAGAATTAAAACAAATAATTATTGACTGAGTTCTGACTTTGAGGCCTTTGTGTTTCAGATCCATTTAGACGGATCAAGCGGAGTTGTGGTGGTGATGGTGTAGGGAAGCCCCAGCCCCAAGGCAAGTGTTGGCTTCCCCATGACCAGGAGGATGGAGGTGTGGCAGCTGCGTAGATGGAGGAGCAGGCACTCCACCTTCCAGCAGTACCCAGGGTGGGTGGGGAAATGTATGGACACCTGAGGTCAAACATTAGCAGAGCAACCCAGGGAGCCACAGTGAAATCTCAGGGGCAAGTAAACACATTGGGAGTAAATGTTGCCATAGGGGTCCTCCATCTTTTTATGGGCTGTACAGACTTGAAAAACGACAGACTTTCAACCTATAACACTATCATTTTGTAGAGTATAGGAAAACATATTTTTAGAACACTATATATATATACATATATATATATATATATGTATATATATGAATAATTATTGATCACTAAAACAATTTAACTTGCCAGTATATAAGGTCTAGCACTCACCAAATCATGCCTAGATTTGTGAGGAAAATATCTTTGTAACATGTCCAGATACAGAGTCCTTCTGCCACAGAGATCTCCAGGATACTGATCCAAAACAGCCTGGTAAACCCAGTGGTCTTCTTCACTGAATTGGAAGTTTCTGGAAGCAACAAAAATGTCACAACATATTGTTAAGCAATCCCAGAGTTTGAGAGACCTCAAAGTGTTCAAGCTATTAACAAATGATAATGATTACATTAAATGAAATCTGTTCTTTTTTAAAAAAAATACATTAGTCAAATTAAATGTCTGCCACACAAAAGGTTTTAAGTTCTAATACAATTGGCTCTTTCAGTTCTTTATTTGGTCTTGTCATGAGTTCCAGGCATAATTTGAAGAAGTTTGACAATGAGACATAACATTTTTAAAAATATTTATTCTATCTTGCCTATAATATTTTTAAATCATGAGCAATAAATGAAATATAAAAACCATTGGGAATAAATTATTAAAGATACAAATTAAAAAGGAATTTTACTTGTTCAAGAAAGTTCCTATTTCTAGTCTGGAGGAAAATACAAATGTAGACAAGTTAAATGAACAATTGCACATAGGAAACTAAGGCCTAAGGAAAGTATGTCATTTAAAATTTGACGTTAATAGCAAGTCTAAAATTATCTTTTACTTTACCTTCTTAACTTCTTGCTTTGGCGGGGTAAGACTAGATATTGGTAGTGAAAGATAAATTTAATGGTATTAAATTTCAGGTCATTAAATAATTTGTAAATAGGACCCCTTCAAGTCACCTTACCAATAACATCCTCATCATGCTCCAAAATGCCTTTTTCACTTCAGAAAACTCTTAGGCACTGACATGGTTTGTGTTCTATGTAAAGTACAGTTGACCCTTGAATAACACAGGGAGTTAGGGGCTGCAACCCTGGAACAATCGAAAATCCTATATAACTTTTGACTCTACAGCCAGCATTTCACTTAGGCAGGTTCAACCAACCAGGGATCCAAAATAGTATTTTTAATCTGACAGTTGGGATTCTGCAGTTAGGAAACTGCAGTTGGGAATGGGGAAAATATTGTTTTTAGTATATGGTTAACTGAATCCACAGATGCAAAACCCATGGATTCAAAAGACTGACTGCATTTATTGAAAAACATCCTCATATAAGTGGACCCATGTAGTTCAAACCCGTGTTGTTTCAAGGGTCAACTGTATTAGCAAAGCCCTATGCAGAGTGAAAATGTTGCAATATCAGCTTGAACTCTAAAGTGAATTAATCTATCTTTATTATTCTGGGTTTATTTGCATATTATTATTCCTGTTTAATAAACTGGAATAATCAAATACAGATGCAATCAGAGGGAGTATTATTAGCAACAAATATTTCCTTGATCAAGATGAAGACTTGCTATTGTTTATTCTAGTATATCATTGGTCTTCTACTTTAAAGTTAACTGTATCATTCAAAGCATTTTTATATGTCCTCTATGCCCTTGAAAAATATTTGACAATTTAAAGCAATACAAAACTATTTACATCAAGTGACAGTAATGGGAATTCCACTGTCTTTACACAAGTTTACCTAGTTTCTGTAAAGTACTTCATTATTCTGGTCAGTAGCAAGAAAAAAAATTTCAAAGATGATAATCTTCTCTAACAGCTCTATAATAAGAAGAAAAAGAGGGCTGGAGGTGTTCTACAAGGAAAAAGCATACTCTACAGTTTTTCAGTATGACAACCTATTTGCAGAAAAAGAATTTGAGATGAGTTCATTCACTGAACACCTTGAGTGTTTCGTTCTGACTGAATCAGTTAGGCATGTATAGACAGTCAGAGACTGCTGCAAATAAAGCATTTCAAATGGGGGTATTAAGCCAGGAGAAAGGCTTGACTGAATGTAATTGGCATTTAAAATACCCTCAAGTCTTCAGGAACAATATCTCAGGTCCTCTCTCAAAGGACTCATTCTCATTCATGATAAGATAAATGCATTTTAACAGCAGTTATCCACATAGATTCTCTATTACTATACCACAAGCAACAACAAAAAAAGAAGAGACCTAAAATTCATGTCCCCATTAATGCTCTTAAACTGTTTCTATAATCAAAGGGACTTGAACATAGTTTGAATTTCCACATTTATTTGATTACAAATGTGGGTGCGGGGAGTATATGCTGGGGAGGAGGAAGTGACAAAATCTAGGTCCAGTAAGTTTTATGTTCTTTTAAATTGACATTTAATTATGTAATGGATGTTGTTGAGGCCATGACAAGACACCTTTGTCAGCTAGAATTCCCATCACCAACATGCTGATAATTCACAGACATACCTTCCTTGCCTAGAAAATTGGCCTGAGCCAGTTGGTACTGCCTCTCGCAGGAGACTACTCTTCCTCCGGCTTCAGAGGGCCAGTCACAACCAATGATTGGCTGATATGGGGGTACAGAAGGCCAGCCCACTCCCCTCAAGATGGGACCAACTCTGTGATACCTCATGCTCCAGAGTTTCACTGAGATCTCCTCCCTGCATAGACATGTTCCCCTCCTCTATCCTGCTTCCGTTACCACCCTTCTCCTGAGAGCATTGCCCAACAAATCACCTGTTCTTATAGTCCCTGTCTCAGCTTTGCTTCTACCAAACCCAACCTAAGATAATCTACAGGCAATCTTACCCACAATTTTCAAACATAGTTTAAATCCTTTAGTAAATGGAGAAGTCCTTCTAAGTTAATTGCTTTGATGATCTCTTATATTGAACGGTAGTGTAAGATAATTCTCAAAGAGAAAGTGCAAATAGCAAACATTTACAAAAATACTTTCCAAATAAAAGTACACATTAAGCAGTGTACATTACTATAAATAAATATAGCAGCAGGAGAATTTGTGGTACTCTGCATTTTTATACATTGCATGAATGTATTAATAAGGTGCCATTTTAGTGACAACATTAAAACCACTTAAATATATGAAATGGAAATGTAACATTAAGCCCAAATATTTCAAACCAAGTATGTCATGTACAATGATCACATCCAGCTTGCTCCTTATTGATTCTAGAAAACTCACATCTCAGCAGCTTTTTCCAATTACCACAATTACACAAATTGTAAGTCATTTTTCTAGTGCATGTAGAAAAATAATAAACATCTTAAAAGAAATCATATATAAATACTCACAGTATTATTATTTTTAGAGTATTTATAGCAAGCACTTCCCACAGCCGCAGGCTTAAATCTTGTGGCAAATATTCACATCAGCAATAATGATAGCACAGTCATACATCTCCATTAGGATGCTGTGTGTGAGGCAGAAGACTCCCACCATGACATATAAATATATACATATATACTGAGTCTCCTAGATGGTAAAAATCTAAGAGGAATATTCAAACATAAAACCTTCTTCACAATAACAAAGTAGTCATTTCCTACTAGCTTCTAAAATAAAATCAAATTTAATGTACCTGCATTTCTAAATTCAAATCTGGATATTTATCTTTCCTTATCAAATGTTCATCTTTCTTTTTTAAAAAGATTTTTATTAAAATCTAGTTAACATACAATAGTATATTAATTTCAACATTTATATACCTAAAGAAGTGATCACCATGCTAAGTCCTGCAACCATCTGACACCATACCACTCTATCACAATATTATTGACTATATTCCCCTTGCTGTACGTTGCATCCCCTTACGTATTTGTTTTATATCTGGAAATTTGGACCTTATTCCCCTCTGCCTTCTTTCCTCCCTTTAAAAATTTGTCAATTACAGTTGGCATTCAATATTATTTTATATTAATTTCAAGTGTGCTGCATAGTGGTTAGACATTTATAAAAATTAAGAAGTGATCCCCCTGACCAGTCTAGTATCCACCTATCACTTTACATACTTATTACTATATTGTTGACTATATTCCCTATCCTTTACTTTACATCCTCATGACTATTTTATAACTGCTAATTGGTACTTCTTGATCCCTTAACCTTTTTCACCCTGCCCTACAACCCCCTCCCGTCTATGACCCCAATAAATCTAGTACCCATCTGATACCATACATAGCCATTACAATACTATTCGCCATACGCCTTATGCTATACCCTACATCCTCATGACTACTGTGTAGCAACCAATTTGTACTTGTTAATCTCTTACATTTTTTTCACCCACCTCCAATCTGGCAACCATCAAAATATTCTCTGTATGTATCCATTTTTTCTGTTTTGTTTCTTTATTTTGTTGTTTAAATTCCACATATGAGCAAAATTATATTGCATTTGTCTTTCTCTGACATACTCCACTCAGAACAATACCTTCTAGGTCCATCCATGCCACTGCAGATGGCAAGAACACATTTCCTTCCATGGCTGAGCAATATTCCACTGTATGTAACACCTCTTCTTTATCCATTCTTCCATTGACAGACACTCAGGCTGCCTCCACATGTTGGCTATTATAAACAAAGCTGCAATGAACATATGGATGCTTATGTCCCTTTGAAGTAGTGTTTTGAGTTTCTTTGGATAAATATCCAGAAGTGGGATTACTGGGTCCTTCTTTGTCTATTGTTATAGTCTTTCTTTAAAGTCCATTTTGTTTAGTATAAGTATTTCTACCCCAGCTTTTTGTTGTTTCCATTTTCATAAAATATCCTTTTCCATCCCTTTACTTTCAGTTTGTGTGTGTCTTTGGATCTGAAGAGAGTCTTTTGTAGGCAGCATATGTAAGGGTCTTGTTTTCTTTATCCATTGAGCCTCAGGCTGATTGGTTGTGAGGACTGGCCATGGCTACAGTGAAGGAGCTGAGGTGTAGGGGCTGACCCTACAGAGCAGGATTTGCTCTATCAGGGCTCTGGTGCCGCCCAGTTTGACTTTCAGGTATGTCATCCTTGAAGGTGTCCAGGTGATGCTTCGGCTTGATCTGAAGCTGTGCACTGAGGCCTCCTGGGAGGGGCCCCACTGTAGGCCAAGTTCAGGCCTGAGAGAGGCCAAGCCATGAACCAAGGCTGGCTGTCTCTAGTACTGGGATTCGGGGTGCTCAATCAGAGGTATGGTCATGCCAAAGCCAGATGTCGCTTATTTGGGTTTTGTGAACCTTTAGGAAGTTTTAGGTAAGCCTGCAGCATGAACCAAGACAGGCCCTT